AAACAAAGGAAAGATCTGTAAATATAGATGTAACAATACATGTGTGGTGGGGCGTGGTTTACGATGCTGCTGCAGGTGCGATGTACACACCTGCGCGGCGTCTGCAATCACGCCTCGCCGGCTTAAAAGTTCAGAGTTTTGGTTAACGGTGTTGTTGTAGTTGTTGTGTTGAGCTGCAGTGTGTGTGTGTCCAGCAACCGTCAAAGTATTAATACAAGTGATCAAAATGCCACTGGGTCTGCTGTGTATGTTTACAATATGCAGTTCAATAAATGCTTGTGTGAAAGTGGAAAGATCCTGATCCTAACACCACACTATCACTTGCTGCTGCTGCCTATTTTTCAATGAAAGAAAACCTTTCATAAAAAAGTTGAAATCTACTTTTGTCGTTGTTCTTCTTTCTTCCAGTGCTGTTAAATTCAAATGAATTAAATTTTGCTTTTGCTACATTTAGTTGCTTTTGCAGACACATGATCTAGAAGAATCGATGCAGAATTATTCAGTGTTTAAAGGTGATTTGGGACTCAGTTTATTGAGTTAATTATTACAACAACAAATCACAGTATGTAAGCTATTTTATTTCTGTACTACTAAGAGCTGGTTTTGATTTGACTTCAGAATAAACTGCTTCATCAGCTGCTGCAGAGTCTGATTTTCCTGCAAATAAAGAGAATTTTTGATGAGATGACTGCCAGTAACATCTTAATTCAAAGGCTCTACTATTTATACACTTTTTCTTGGTGTGTATAAAAGTATAAAGCAGACAGCAAAATGAAAGATTTGCCATTTTTAGATTACTTTACTTACCTTTATGTATCTTGACTTTAGCTCTGTTGTGGGAGACCTCTGCATACAACAGAGCTGTTATCTAAAGAGGACAGACGATGATCAGAAAAGGTTGACTGTCTTTAATTTCCTTTATATTTATATCATTCTGTCATTCAACACCTAAACTACATGAAATGACTGAAGGATGTTCTCTACACTGACTAACATTTCTCAGCATTAGATATTATCTTGTTTGAGTTCATCATTATAGCGATAATGAGTCTGTTATTTCTGTGCAATTACCAAGAGCTGGTTGTGACTTGACTTCAGAATAAATGACTGCAGAGGCTGATTTTTCTGCAAATAAAGACATTATTAGTCAAAGATGATTGTCAGTAACATCTTAATTCTAAGTCCACACAGCCAGCAGGATGACAATACCTCAAATCAGCCTTTTAGACTGAGGGGTAAAACGTGAAAAACAGACAGCAAAAAGAAATGTGTACTTTGCTACTTTACTTACCCTTGTTTCTCTTGGCTTTAGCTCTCTTGTGGGAGACCTCTGCATACAACAGGCTCTCATCTAAAGGAGGACAGACAGACGATAAACTAACTTTGGAGTAACTTTGATTTTCTTTATACTGAAATCATTTTGTCATTGAAAACCTAACTCTTCACATGAACTGACTGAGGGAGGTTCTCCTCTATTGAAAATGAATTTTTTTGACAGCCTGTTGTTGTCATTATTAAAAATCTGCTTCTTTCACATTGTGCCTACATCAAAAACAGCCAGTGAGCATTATGATGGGTCTCCTCAGTGATAGATGACCCCTGATATTAGAATCACACGAGAAGAATGATGCTGGCCAATCTCATTTAAAATACAGATCTTTGACATGATTGGTCTAAACTGAATGTATTGTCTCTGTCGAGGACAGGATTAAAATGAATCCCGTGATTATAGGTTAAGGTTTATAACCTGCAGCACCTATAAGAACATGAAAACCTTTATGGAAAAAAGTAATTACATTAAATTACACTCTGGAAAAAGGAAAATGGAATCTCTGAAAAGAAAAAACATTTCAGCAAAGGTTTTAAATACTGAAGGAATTGGACTGATTATTAATTGTTCTTTGGTTTATTGTTTTATTGTAAAAGATTCATTGTTCAAATTAAATTAAGGGAACATTCGACTATCTCAGTATGAAACATTTTCATTCAAACTTCAGGGATACCTGACTCCATTTCACCTGCTTTGGTGCAACTCAGAATGACAAGAGGTGCACTGAAGAGGAAACAACAACAAAAACCTCAAAAAGAGAATATTTTCAAGGTGGTGTTCACAGATTATTGCTCTCTCTTTATCCTCCTGACTGACTTTTCTTGTTGCTGTTGTTCAGTCGAGCTGCACATTGCTGTGCTGTGAGTACAAGTCCTAGTAAAGGACATGAGGCCTCATGCTGTGTTCGCAGAGTCTATTTCTAACAGTTTGATCAAAAGCATGCACATGAGGATGGGCCATCCTGGTCTGCCTGTGCAGCCTGACGGTAACGTCTCATAATATCATCAGTTTGCACCAAAGCAGCTTCCTAGATACAATGATTGAAGTCCCTGAATTTTAACTTTTTAAATGTGTTCCACCTTTTTTCCACTTTCTTCTCTATTTATTTGTTTATTTGTTGAACAGAGCACATTACAGCGATCAGCTGGTTTCTTGCTTTTTCTTCTTGGAGCGATAACATGAATGAAAATCTAGTTTTTCCTTCATTTGGATACTACTGTCCAGTAACAGCATGTAAACTAGTGTATTTTGTATTGGTAGCAGATTAAATACTCACCTTTCTGAGTGATGTTTTTAAACTCAATCAAAGAATATGTGACATCCCCAGATTCAACTAAAATAGAGGTCAAACATTTACACATAAATGAGAATAATCAAAGAGTCTGCATACTTATAAACCGCTGTTTATACTTTACCATTTTTTGTGTCATCGTGGTCTTTGACTGATTCATAGAGACAAGCATCACCTAAAACAATTAAAACTCATATACATGGATCTGATCACCTTACAAACAGAACTGTCTAAAGCAGAACTTGTCACTGTTAACGCTGACCTTGGTGAGGAGAAGCATGTTGGCTGTCTCGAGCTTCATCCTGGTTGATCGTGTGGTTTATGGTTTGATTTGTGCTGGAACATAAAATGTAGTAAAACAGTGGATTTAATAAGAAACACAGGATGAAATTCAGGTTTGATAAAAAATGAGAGAGAAGATTTAAACAAACCTGGCAAAGCATGAATCTGAAAAACAAAACAGAAAAACACAATCAGATGTTTTTATTGCAAACTGTTCTGGTGCTGTAACGTTACATGCAGCGTTCAGGGTACGTCTGTAGTTCTGAACAATTAGATTATGCTCAGTGTAATATCAGAGAGAAATGGTTTCACCCTTTGACTGTTTGAAGCGACACAACAGCAGAAGAAGAATCAGTAAAAGTCCACAGATGAGTCCAACGATCAACAGAGCAGGAAATGAAGAGTTTCCAGTCCTGGGCACTGCTGAATAAATAAGATTTAATTACATGTAAACAGATTTAAATGTACAACAGGCTTCACATGAAACACACACAAGAGCTGGCACTATTTACAATACCAGAACTCCTGATCAGATCACCTCCACTCTCATGTTATTTTACATGAGTTTGTAATATGTACAAAAAAGCACAAGCGAAAGAAATTTTTCTCTGTGTAACTTGGAACCAACAGGATCTCCAGGACAGATGTCAGATGGTGCAGTGTAATATACAATTACTTCGACTATATAGAGGCAAATCGAGGCAGTGTTGAAAGCTAATGGGGGTCCACCCAGTACCAGCAAGGTGTACTTAATAAAATGTCTAGTAGCCTTCTTAATCTCTGAGGTGTCACAGATGTATAAAATCAAGCACGTAGCCTTCACAAACATTTGTGGAAAAATGGGTCCAAAGAAGAGCGAGCTTCCTCTTTATAGAGCTTCTCTAAACTGAAACAGCGTTTTGTCTCAGTGTTTTTACACTTTCAGTAAAGACGGCAGTGAACACGCTAAAATTAAAAAGTGTCAGTGTTCACAAGAATGATGGTGATGCAGCCACTGTGAAATCTGCGGTAGTGTTGCAGCTGATAAGGAGCAGATATTCTGAATATTACATAAACATCATACTGAATACTGTCAAACTGGCAACAGCCCTCAATATTCACAGTAAAGCACACAATCTTATTCATCATCATCACTTTATGGGGTATTAGTTGGCAGCTTGGACACTTGTATTTATGATTACGATAACTCGGGAACTCATCATCTACTAATAATCTCAGATAAGTTCAAATCTCAGTGACCTCGAGGTCAAAGTTAGAGGTCAGGTTTTCTAAAAAAAAAATTGTGAACTTGAGAAGGAAATCACTTATGTTCAAGCTTACTTGCATGTACCAGGAAGCTGATGGGCTGCACAACCATGGTGACTGAGATCAAATATGTGTGTGTTTTATTTATGTTATCAGCTGGAAGTAAATTTCCACGAGACTTTTAAATAGGGATGATGTAGTTTTGTCATTATTTGTTTTGTAATTTATAAGTTTTCAAAGTGCTTTTATAGACACATATGATGTTTGTGTATTTCATCATCTTACTGGGGTGATGGGACTAGAGCTCAACAATGACCTTTGAACTATTCATTACGCAAAGGGTCTGACAAACTATAAGGCTACCTCAGGTGCAGCTCTGGGTCTCGCAAAAAAAAGTAACATACTTTGTAGACCATTGAATTGTTCCTGTGCTGACCATTGTTACGTTTGTAAAATGGAGCTCAACAACAAACATGACAAACAAAACTAAAACGACTGAACTCACAGGTTATCTTAATGGTGACATCATCACTTTTATCAGTGTAGTAAACTGGGTTTCCTCTTCTTCCTCTGCAGTGGTAGATTCCTCTTTCAGATACTCTGATTACTCTGTTTTGTTGATCATCTGTTCTCATTTGAACTTCAGTGGAATTATGGTCACGTCTGAACCACTCATATTTCCAGTCAGCAGAGCTCCCCACAGAGCAGTTCAGCATCACACTGCCCCCTACTGGTATGATAGTTGATCCTGGAGTCAGTGTGGCCCTGGGTTTACCTGAGGTTAGGGAAAAAGAGGAAGAAAAGAAAAGAACATGGATAAAAGACCATTTCATTTTTGTGTGAGAAAAGTAAAATTATTGTAAAATGGTACATTTTAATAACAACATCATTTGAAAAAAAAATACTCTCTATTTCATCAATTGGATGAGTGTTTGAACAGGCATCACAAATTAATTGTTAAAGCATCCCAGCAGTGTTAATACTGGTGTCATCTACTTTCTCCTCTCACACAGGTCTGTAATGCATTTCCATTTATAAACTAGTCCTTTCCTTTTTCTGCTTAAAGCCTTCCTGCTCCCAACAAAAACAGATTCATCAGAAGATTCTCGCTAATGTGAGACTCAGACGTCAGACCACACAGGAGCAGATCATCATAGCTGCACAGACAAATCTCACATACCAGCACTTTAATTATGAGACTTCTAACTTTTCATTTCTTTAATTCATACCTTCAAACTTTAATACCAGATAAAAGTTTGCTTTTATTTGGTATTAGTTAATCTTCTTTCAACACCATCAGAAGAAATCAAACATTTCACACATCACTGCATTAATAAAACAAACTCATCCATCATTCCTGAGATAAAATGTATAAAAACATGTAATCCATGAAGAAAATCCCTTCAAACAGTTTGGCCCCCTGTGGAGGAAAAAATGTCTGTCGCAGTCGTGAAATGTTGTTTCCACATTAGAGATGTGTTCACATTCACAGCATACAGCAGAAACTATGTTCACATCACTGGGCTCTCTACACCATTTCAGCTGCACAGACGTCACAGAGTCACCATCTCTGTTTCTAGGCTGCCACAATAAACCAGCTCAACAATGAAAACATTAGATTTCTGCTTGTAGCTCCATCAGTCACCATGACAACATCTCCATCTGAAATATTACAACAAACCTTTTCTCCACCTACTCATCTCTGT